CATATCATGCCAGCTAACAAGACTCGTCTTCCTCACACTGTTGGAAGAGCCCCGAATGAAATCCCGTACTAACCGACAAATCTGATTACAAAAAGAGCTAGGAAGCATGGTAGTCTGCATGGCATAGGTCAGGATCGCCATGAGCACGAATTTGGGAGAGTAAACCTTCCAACCATAGATAAGCTGGTGGCTTTCGACCCATAAAGCCTTCTACGTACATTGTCCCAAATATACTTGTAGTGTCTTTAGTAACCCTACCACGCAAGAGCGAAAGTCCCAAGTACGTAGCCAGGTTATTAGAAACCTAGAACCTAAAACTGGAACTAATACGAGAAGCCTCCCCATCAGTAACGTTGTGAGAGAAAACAATGTGCGTCTTGGACATGTTGATCTTGTGTTCGGAGCTTTGGCAGAACTCATCAAGGACCCTCTCAATAAGTTTTACCTGACTACTGGAAGCCTCACTAAATAAGATTAGGTCATCAGCAAAGAAGATGTGCGAAAGTTAGGGGGCCCCCACACTCATAATAAGCGAGCGCCAATCGCCACTACGGACTAACTAATTGATGTACTAAGACAAACACTCCATAAACAAGACAAAGATATATGGCGAGAGAGGGTAACCCTACCGAATGCCTTGCTAAGTAGTAAACTCCTTAATGGCCACACCATTCCAGAGGAGTTAAGTAGAACCGGAGCTGATGCAATGCATGATGGTCCGAATCATATTATGGAGAAGGCCTACATTACGAATAGTTTCTTTAATGAACCCCCAGCTGAGCCTGTCATAAGATGTCTCCAGGTCCACTTTAATTGCCATCTAACTTGTCTCGCCCTTCTTATGCCTCATCAAATGAATAACCTCTTGGGCCATGATAATATTATCTGAGATGCTCCGGCCTTCAACGAAACTAGTTTGCATTCCGTTAATCAACCCAGACATAATATTCTTGAGCTTGTTGGTAATGATTTTGGTGATAATTTTATACGAGACATTAAACAAACTTATAAGTCGAAAATCTTTGATAGACTTGGGGCTCTCCACTTTAAGGATAAGAGTGATTAAGGTTTTATTCTTGCCAGGCTCTAACTTGCCTCCTTGAAAGATTGTAGTAGCCATGACATAGACCGAGTCACCAACAACGTCTTAATGGTGCTGAAAGAAGGCTGTATGCAAACCGTCTGGACCAGGCACCTTGAGGGGTTTCATATCAAACAGAGCCACCACGATCTCCTCCCTAGTGACTAGCCTACTTATGGCAGTGACAATGTAAGAACTAAGAATGGGGAATCTATCCCAGATAGTGAAGGCAGTCCTACCAGGCTCCTTTTCACAATACAGGGTATGAAAGAATTTAGTGGCCCTGTGGCTAAACCGATTCCATCCGAGATCCAATTCCTCGTATCATCTTAGAGCATAATAATCCTACTTCATATGTGCCTAGCCATCGTACGAGCATGATAGTAGGCAATATTCTTTTCACCTAGAGAAATGAACTCACACCTGGACTTCTACATCCAATAGATTCCCTCTTATAAGAAGATCACCTCGAGCTCTTGACGGAGGGACACCTCAAGCCTACTCAAATAGTTAGAAGAGGAATATTCAAGAGCCTTCTGGATGTCATTGATACGGGCCATTAACCATATCTTCTTACAAAAAATATTTCTGAACACCATGGTGTTCCAAGCCTTAGCATGGTGAGAGAAATTATCCACAGTGGCTTCGAACGAGGTGCCCCCTTCTCATCTACTCCAAACAAGATTAGGGAACCCAAGATGGGTAAGCCAAGTGGTAAGGAAGCGGAATGGTGGGGGGTTCGGCATATGGGGAGTCCTAAAGTAAATGAGAAGAGGTTTGTGATCTGACTGGAGCTTGGGAAGGTGTTGTACAAAGGAGTCAGGAAACATGTCAAGCTAGGAAAAATTAACGAGGGCCCGATCAAGACATTGGAGCAAAGTTCCCCGTCGCCAAGTGAACATAGGTCCCACAAAATCAAGCTGAGAGAGGGCATTGTGGCTAAGGAACTGGGAGAAGAGAGGACAACCACCACTACCTCTAGTGGCTCCGCTCTGTCTATCATAGCCCTCAATTATCACATTGAAATCCCCCACGAGTAACTAAGGTTCCTGAATTGTAGTACTTAGTTGAGAGAGATATGCCATACGTAGCGACGCTTCTGTGCTTGGAGATTCCTATACACAGTAGTAAAAAGGACACCTAGATTGCTCCCATTGTAATGAATCTGGGTATGGATAAATTGACATTATTCACTAGATTTCCATTCGAATCGGATCATTCTAAGAAACCAAGACCCGC